GCACCTGAATTACGAAGTGGCCGATTTTAATTGCAAAACAATAACTATTTTGTTCCTGCTATCGAAAACTATTAACGCCTGTCCTTCCATTGATTATAGCCGGCATGGCAAAGAATTTTACCCATAATTGTTTAGAGAAAAGAAAACTTTGGCAGGAATTTCACAAAGTAATTGAACGCCTGATTAAACGCTATTAAGTTGAGAGAGAAAAAGTTTACAAACTTTCGTCCCGTCTATAGAAAATATACATTGAGTACGCTTATCTTCGAGGTAAGCGATAGTTTCCCTTTTATTTTATTTTTGCCGTTTCACATAATGTAGTGGCAACAATAAAATGATAAGAGGTAAGTGAATTATAGAGAAAAACATAAAGAGCTTAAAGATACATTTGAGTGAGGGGGGGTGGGGGTTGGAGATTATTTTGCGGAATAAACAGAAAAATCGATAGGGAAAAATAAGCAAGCACAAACATTGAGAAAATATAAATTAATAAGGATTAAGGGTAACATGGCATTGTTAATATTATGTGGGTGTAGATTCTCTACAAGGGACATACATGTCAGTCTCAATGTGGCGATTTGCAAGTTTTTGGCTGAGATTTCTATTTTTTTATACCCTCCACCATAGTATGGAGGTTATATTAAGTTTCTCACTCCGTTTCTAACACCTCATTTTAGACCCAACAAAGTATATACATTCTTGATCAGCATAAAATTCTATGTCAGTTTAGCGATGTCCGTCCATCGGTCCGTCTTTGGAAATCACTCTAGTTTCCGAAAGAAATGCAGTAGGTTGATAAAATCTCAATCTCAAATATTCAAATGTATGTTATGTATGCAGGACTTTTGGTATTAAAAATAGGTCATGTAGGTTTACGTTTTGGTATAGCCCCCATATAATCGTACCTCCCTATTTTCGGTATATTGGTGATTTAAGCGACATTATTCACCAGAAATTTTTCAAAATTCGTATTTGAAGTTTGGAGTAGATACTACATCCTAAGACAGAAAATGGGTCATATAGGTCCAAGTCTTCGTATATCCCCCATATAACTGTACCCCCCGATATTCGGTATTTTGATGATTTTAGCGACATTATTTATCGGAATTGTTTAAAATTTGGTAGTTGAAGTTCGTAATGGATACTTCAGCTTAAGACAGAAAAGGTCCACGTCTTCGTATAGCCCCCATATAACGGTACCTCCCGATATTGGGTATTCTGATAATGTTAGAGACATTATTTACCGGAACTATTTCAAATTTGGTATTTGAAATTTGTAATGAATACTACACAGCCTATGACTGAAACTTTTCTGTGAAGGTCCACGTCTTCGTAAGCCCCAATATAACGGCACCCCCGATATTCGGTATTTTGATGATTTTAACGACACTATTTACCGGTATTGTTTCATGTTTTGTATTTGAAGTTCGTAATGGATACTACAACCTATACCAAAAAATTGTCTGTGCAGGTCCACGTTTTATAATCCCCATGGTACCTCTCTATATTCGGTATTTTGATGATTTTAGCTACATTATAAACCGATTTTTTTTCAAGTTTCACATTTGAATATTGTAATAGCTTATGAAAAAATTTGCCTATTCAGGTCCACGTCGTCGCATAGACCCTAATATATGCCTAAATTCGGTAGTTTTAAGATTTTAACATAAGTTTAACGGATTTTATTTATTTATTTTATTTTATTTTATTTATTTTTTTTTGAAAATTTTACCAAATGGTGGAGGGCATTCAAAGATCGGCCTGGCTGAACTTACAGCTTTTTTAAATGTTTTTTTTTTTTTTTTTTGTTTAAAAAAACTTCCAAATTTGTTCGAAATGGTGGAGGGTATTCAAAGTTCGGCCGGGCTGAACTTACTGCTTTATTACATGTTTTCATTAAAATTAATATTTATGGAATAAACGGATGAAGCTAGAATGTCGAAAATTTGGGTGAGGGTCACTCTGGGATTTTTTGAAATTCGTACTAGAACGGTACGAAAAGTATTAAAAAGTACTAAATATGGTAACCTTTGTATTTCAGGAAGTAAAAGAGCTAGAGTTCTTAAATTTGGAATGAGGGTCACTGATTGAGTATTTGGTAGATATACCAAAGGGTACTATAAGTGTACGAAAAGTACTAAAATGTACTACATTTGATACCATTTCGTATCATGTGAACGGTTAGAGCTAAAAACTTGAAATTTGAAATGGGAAACAAACTCGATGTAAGGAGATAGTTTAGGAAGTGTTTACTCACTTATACGAAAAGTACTAAACGGTACTAAATTTAGAACCATTTGAATTTGGAAGAACGGATGAATCTGGAATCCAGAAATTTGAAATCAACATTACTGGCGGAGTTTAGCATTGGGATATGGGGGAAGTTATAAATTGTACTAAATTTGGTACAATTTCGATTTGGGTGAACCGGTAGAGCTGGAATCTTAAAACTTGGAATTGGGATTATTGTTGGAGTGTAGGATTTGGGAATGTAGGATATTTTTTGAAATTCGTTCTGATGTGTACTTAATGATACTAAATGTATTACAAATTGAAGTTGTGATGAACCGTTGTAGCTAGAATTTTAAAATTTGGAATGAGACTCACTGATGCCGCGCAGGATATTTGCACCAAAAGGTTATTAGAAATTCGAACTTTAAGTTGGTATTCGAATCAAGGTTGGAAAGTAAATTTGATATATAAAGGTGCCAACTGTACTAAATTTGGTTTATGATAAACAGATGCAGGTGGAATTTTGAAACTTTGTATTGGGGTCTCTGCTGGTGGGTAGGGTTAAGATAAAGAAATGGGTTTGAAAATACGTTCAGCAAGGGTACGATAGGTACCAAATGATACCAAATTCGGTATTGCGTGAAGGGGTGCTTTTTCAAATCTTAAATTTAGCATTAGTATCACTCTTAGTGTGTAGGGTTGAGATTTTTAGTTGGTTTTGGAAATACGTACTAAAAAGTTCTAAATGACACTAAATTTGGTATTTGGCTAAGGAATTGAATTAGAAGTCTAAAACTTTACATTAGGATCACCTTTTGTGAGGTTTTGAAATGTGTACTAAAAATAGAAAAATGGCATTAGGGTCACTGTTCATGCATAGTCTGGACATATGTAGATGGCTCTTGAAATGCGTACCATAATTGTATGAAAACTACTGAATGGTACTATATTTGGAGTTGGGGAAAGGAATAGAGCTAATATCCTGAAATTTGATGTTTAGATTACTGATGGTATCTGTGTTTGAGATTTGACGGTAATTTGGAAATATGTCCTATATGTGTACGAAAAGTACTAAATGTTACTCAAAACGGTATTGGGTGAAGGGATAGAGCCGGAATCCCAAAATTTTATATTGAAGTCTCTGTTGGTATTTGGGTTTGAGATATGAAGGTGGCCTCGAAAATGTGTACTATAATTGTACGAAAAGTACTAAATGGTACTAAATTTGGTATTAGGTAAAGGAATGGAGACAAAATTTTGATATATATATTTAGATTAATAATGGTATCTGTGTTGGAGATTTAGCGGTGGTTGCGAAATGCGTCTCATATTTCTATGAAACGTACTAAATAGTACTAAATTTGGTTTTGGGTGAAGGAGTAGAGCTTAAATCCTAAAATTTGATATTAATGTCACAGTAGGTATCTGGGGTTGCGATATGAAGATTATTTTGAAATTTCGTACTTTAACTGTACGAAAAGTACTAAATAGCAATAAATTTATTATAATATTCCCACATATAACAAATTTACAACTAGATGTCATACTGTTTTTATTTAGTGTAGTCACACACCAAAATCCCATTAGCGCACAGTAGATGGCGCCAACAATTCTATTTCTTTAATTGGCTTCTAGGTGGCAATAAGTCGAAGTGAGGAAACCTCAAGAGATGGCAACACACAATAAATATAATAATGATAAAAAATATGAAAATTACTTTAATTTCGGCCGAACGGACAGGCCGAATATAAAATCAATGCCTCTTATAACAACAATGGCTGGAAATTAGGCGGTTTAGAAGTTTTTGAGGCCATCATGGAAAACCGAACCCGAACCGAATGATTATTAACTAATCACAATAAATGTTTGGTAAGCCTTTTTCTACCCTCCACCATACTATGGAGGGTATATTAACTTGGTCATTCCATTTGTAACTCCTCGAAATACTCATGTAAGACCCAACGATTTAGCGATGTCCGTCAGTCTGTCTGTCTGTTGTAATTACACGATATTAAGAGCGAATCGAAATAGACCCTATGACAGGAGGCAAATAACGGTAGATCCCGATATTGGATATTTTGATGACTTAAGCGACATTATTTACCGAATTTGTTTCAAATTTAATGAATAATACAGCCTATGACAGAAAATTGTATGTGCAGGTCCACTTTTTATAACCCCCATGGTACCTCCCTATATTCAGTATTTTGATGATTTTTACTACATTATAAACAGATTTCTTTCAAGTTTCGCGTTTGAATATTGTAATAGCTTATGACAAAAGTTGCCTATGCAGGCCCACGTCGTCGTATAGTCCCTAATATACGGCTACATTCGGTATTTTTAAGATTTTAACAGAATTTTTAACGGATTTTATTTTCTTGAAAATTTCCCGGCAGAACATACAGCTTTTTTACTTGGTTAGCTTGTTTTTTAATTTATTATTATTATTATTTTTATTATTATTATTATTATTATTATTATTATTATTATTATTATTATTATTATTATTATTATTATTATTATTATTATTATTATTATTATTATTATTATTATTATTATTAATATTTTTCTATTGTCTTAAAAATTACACTTTACTCTGATAGTCGGAAACTTCATTTGATCTATGGTGAAATATTCCTTCTGATCGTTTAACTCCCTCAACGTTGCCTATCAACCGCAAATATAATTTTTCAACCCCCATTTGATAAAATATGCACAATTCCTAATACCTCCCCCTAAAATGTTCTTATCATTCACAAAAACCATTTCGTTGCAATTCAAATTTTTATTTGATTAAATTTTAAACGAATTTCTGAAAGAAAAGAGTTTTCAAGATAATCCTTCCAATGGAGTCCGTTTCCAACCTTTAATTTTCTTTAACCATAGTAGGCAGCGGGATAACCACCATAGGCAGCAGGGTAGCCACCGTAATAGAATTGTGGTACGGGTGCTGGTTCAGGACGAGCCACGGGAGCAGGAGCTGGAACAGCGGTGGCCAAGGCAACCAAGGCGGCGAACAACAAGAAGAACTGCAATGAATTCGAATGTTTAATTAGTTGGTATCTAATATAGGATTCCCTTAGAAATTTATCTTCGACTTACGATTTTGAACATTTTTGCGAAGTTTTGAAATGCACTTGTCACTGATTGAAAGTGAAAATGTTTTTTGGCGACTCAGTGCTGGATGATGGCTTTATATAGAAGTCAGTAATGATCTAAGCAAAACTTCAGAAGTTAACCAAATCATTAAAAATTAATTATCATTCTTCTCGCGTTTGCTACATTTAAAAGAAAATAAATTCAAAGAATAGAATTTTGAAGTGCATGTGTGACGCTATTCAAAGAGTAAAATATGTTTAAGTATTTGCAATTATTATGTATTCTTTATAGCGATTACTTCACCAATGACCAGACAATGAGGAGAAGGTAGAACCTCAATACTCTGCGGTATTTTGGCTCATTACCGGCGCAGCGCTTGCTTGAGGTGATCGACACTTTGGTATTTTTTGCTTTCTAAAATACTCCAGGCACAATAGTCCAGCGGATTGGTATCCGGAGATTTTGGTGACCATTGTGCGCTGAAAATGAAGCGAGGGACCTCATTTTGTAACCATTCTTAGGTGGGAATGTCCAAGGTCTGCGGCCAAAATTTTTGCGGGCCCAAGGCTTTAGTACACCCTACAGAATATTTTCGCGATAATATTCGGCATTTATTCTGATGCCACGGTCGATTAATACGAGCGGAGAGCGATCATCGCCCGGCCGGCGCTTGAGTTCTGGTGGCCAACCGAAGGTGGTCATTTTCAACTGACCTCTTTGGCAAGTAAACACGATCATTTGGTCTGTTTACAAACTGCTCTGCTAGACAACAAATGTTTTCTCATCGGAGAAAACCAAATTCGGTAGTTCACCACTTTCCGCTAAGCGAAGCAACTCTTTAGTTCTTTTAGGTCCATTTCTTTCTGTGGGGGTGTAAGTTCTTGCACTTTTTGGAAGTTCAATGGCTTTACCCCGAGCTCATTTTTCAATATTTGCCGAATGGTATATTGCGATTTGTTTAGCTCAGGTGCCATTTTTCGGCCACTGCGACGCAGCTTAAAATTCTAAGTCGATTTAACGATGTCCGTTTGTCTGTCCGTCTGTCTGTTGAAATCACGATACAGGCCACATTATTTGACATAGAGCGTCAAAATTTAGCAGAATAATTTGTATTGTGTCTAGGATGGTTGGTATTGAAAATGAGATATATCGGTCCACGTTTAGGTATAGTCCCCATATAACCGTACCTCCCGATATTCGGTATTTTGATGATTTTTGCCACACTTTTTCTCGGATTTGTCTGAAAATTGGTAGTTGTAGGTCATAATGAGTCTCAGTTCATGTGGCGAAACATTGTATGTATAGGTCCAAGCTTTGGTATAGCTTCCATATAAAGGTATCTCTCAATATTCGGTATTTTGATGATTGTTACCACACTTTTTCACGGATTGGTCCGAAAATTGGTATTTGTAGGTCATAATGAGTCCTAGCTCCATTGGCGAAATATTTTATATATAGGTCCACGTTTTTGTATAGCCCTATGTAGCGGTACCTCCCGATATTCGGTATTTTGATGAGTTTTGCCACACTTTTTCACGGATTTGTCTGAAAATTGGTATTTTAGGTCATAATGGGTCCTAGCCCCATTGGCGAAACATTGCATGTATAGGTCCACGCTTTGGTATAGCCCTATATAGCGGTACCTCCCAATATTCAGTATTTTGATGATTTTTGCTACATTTTTCCACGAATTTGTCTAAAAATTGGTATTTGTGGGTCATAATTGGTTCTAATGTTTACATTGCCCTAAGGTGGAGGGTATTCAAAGTTTGGCCCGGCCGAACTTAATGTTTTTTTACTTGCTTGTTTTGACTTTAGCGTGACTGTTGACGGACGGACAGTGTTAAATCGTCTTAGGTAAAGAATATATGTACTTTGTTAGGTTTAAAATTATTATTTCGATGAATTGCCAACGGAATGAAGAACTTAATATACCCTCCACACTATGTAGGGTGAAGGGTATAAAAAATCGAAAATATTGTCAAAAAAAATGTTCTTGTTCATTCGGTTTTATTTTGAGTTGATGCATGAAAATAGTGACCTAACATAGAATTGTTAATTTTCGCTGAGAATTTTACTCGTTGCCATTTTAGGTCAAAATTCCCCTTAATTTTTCATTTTGTTGGGCAAAGTGTGAGGGAAGAAATATTCAAGTTCAAATTTCATAATTAGTCTCTGAAAAAAAGAAATTTGTATGCTTAATATGTTCTATGAAAAAGTATCACATATTTTGCTCCATAAAAACCTTTTCATGAAATGATAATATTGTCCAAATATGTTTGTCAAATTCCTTATTATTTCACAGTTCAATAGCCAACCTGGCTTGTGGAAAATTCTAAGTAGATTTGATACTCGATTTGTTAATAAAAACTCCTAAAGTGTTTCGGGTTTTTCGGCCTTAACATTTCAAGGCTCAAGGTTACCATGTCTACAAAACTTAAAATGATTTGGATTTTAATAACACGTTTTTTGTAATTCCATTACCTTCTAAAATATTCCTATATTGATAACAAAGTCCTTAAGTAACCGCAAACATTTTTGCGGTTTTGTCATTTAATTCAATTAACCGACAAGACGGATGTTTGACATATAGTATATCTCTCTTGTGAAGGCGTAATGAAAACGATGCATACGCCATACTGTAGTCAAACTAGACAAAAATTATTTCTTCATCCGCTTTCGAGAAATCCCCATCAATATTTCATTGAAGAACTGTGAAGCTAGATTATTCTCAATTATAAAATAAAAATGTATCGCACATGAGTAGAATATCAATATTAATCAGAACGTATACTTCACTTTTCGTGAGAAATTTCTATATAAAGCATTCTAGCACACCTTGACCGATAAGACACATTTCCACTTTTAGCAAGTGACAAGTGCATTTCAAAACTTCGCAAAATGTTCAAAATCGTAAGTTAATTAGAGATTTTTAATAAATCCGATTTTGATTTTTGAACTAATGAAGAATACAAATTTATTGCAGTTCTTTTTGTTGTTTGCCGCCTTGGTTGCCTTGGCCACCGCTGTTCCAGCTCCTGCCCCTGTGGCTCGTCCTGAACCAGCTCCAGCACCACAATTCTATTATGGTGGCTATCCAGCTGCCTACAGCTATGGCTATCCCGCTGCTTACTATGGTTAAAGGGGATTTGGAATGAAAAGGATAATTGAAACTGACCGGATAATCCTAAAACTCTCTCTCGCTCTCTCTCTCTTCAGAAATTCGTTTAAATTTAGTTAAATAAAATAATGTTTGCTTGTAAAAAAACTTCAAGCCTTTTCTTTTTTGGTCAGTCAGATTTAAGAAATTTAATCTGCTTGGTCATAGAAAGACCAATAGGTTTTACCATGGAAGACCAACGGGTCTTCTCATAACATACCAATAAGATTTTCCATAGAAGGCCAATTGTTCTTCTCAAAGTTTAGCACTAGATCTTCACAATGGAAGACCAATAGGTCTCCTTCACAGAAGACAATTTATGGTCTTCTCATAGGGGACCAATAGGCCTTCTCAGAGAAGACAAATCTATCTTTATAAACAAAAGAGTAAAGTAATAAACTGACTGCCTCACGGTTGACTGAAGGACTGACTTACTTAACGATTCATCAATACCCAGACGAAACGGCTGAAGCTAAAATCGTAAAATTTTGAATCTAGAATCTTGGTCCGATGAGATCCGGCAAGGCTATGTTTTTGGAAATTCATACTAGAATGGTACGAAAAGTATTAAAAGGTACTTTATATGATATCCTTTGCATTTGAGGAAGCAGTAGAGCTAGAACTCTTAAATTTGGAATGAGGGTCACTGATGGAGTGCATGATAGATGTACTAAAGGGTTTTTGGGAATTCGCACCATAAGTGTAGGAAAAGTACTTAAAAGTACTACACTTAGTACCATTTCGTATCATGAAAACGATTGCAGCTAAAAACTTGAAATTTAGAATGGGAATCAAGGTTGAGGAGTAGAGTCGATGTAAGAAGGTACTTTTGGAAGTGTGTAGTCATGTATTCGAAAAGTACTAAACGGTACTAAATTTAGTACAATTTGAATTTGGAGGACAGAATGGAGCTGGAATCCAGAAATTTGAAATTACATTACTGGCGAAGTGTAGGCTTGGGATATAGAGGAAGTTTTCGAAATGTGTACTTATGTGCTCGAAAAGAACTAAATGGTACAAAATTTGGTACAACTTCGATTTGGGTAATCGGATAGAGCTGGAATTTAGAAATAAAATTACTATTGCATTTTACAACTGAGAAATGTTGATAGTTTGGGAAATTTGTACTTATGTGTACGAAATGATACTAAATTTGGTACAATTTAAATTTTGGGAGAACCAAGAGGGTTGGAATCCTGAAATTTGGAAATAAGATTGCTATTGCGTTGTAGGACTGAGGTTAGTTTTGCAATACAATTTATGTTTCTCGGCAAACTGGAATCCTAAACTGTGGATATGTGATTACTGTAGGAGTGTAGGAAGAAGGCATATAGAATATTTTGGAAATCCGTACTTATATGTACTAAATGGAACCATCCCAATTCAAATTTCTATTGGACTGTATGATGTGGGAAATTATGAAAATTTGTTGTGTTTTAAAAGGTATTAAATTTGGTAAAATTTTTATTAGGGCCAAGCAATCGAGCTGGTATCCCGAAAATTGGAAATAAGATTACTGTCTGAGTGTACAATTGGATAATGTAGATTGTTTTGGAAATGTGTACTTATATGTACTAAAATGTATTAAATAAAGTACATTTTGTATTTGGCCGAACCAACAGGGGTGGTATCCTAAAATTTGGAATTGAGATTACTGTGAGAGTGTAGGATTGGGATGTGCAGGAAGCTTTGGAAATTCGTATTTATGTGTACTAAATTTGGTACGAATTAGAACTGTGATGAACCGATGGAGCTGGAAATCTGAAACTCGGAATGAGAGTCACTCATGGAGTGCACTATAAATGCACCAAAGAGTTATTGGAAATTCGAACTTTAAAATTAGGAAATATTGTAAAATGTTACAAACGTCTAAAATGGTACCATTTGGTATTATGTGAACGGATAAAGCTTAAAACTCGAAATTTTGTTGTAAAGTAAGTTTGATATGTGGAGGTAGTTTTGGAAATGCGTACTAAGTTGAAAGAACTGTACTGTGTATGTACTGTAAACGATAATAAATTTGGAAAGTAAATAAGGTTTGGTGTGAACGGATGAAGCAGAAATTTTGTATTGAGGACCGTGTTGGTAGTAGTTTCGTAATAAAGTGGTGGTTTTGGAAATGTGTACTACAAGTGAACGAAAAGTACTAAATAGTACTATGGTTGGTACAATTTGACTTTGGGTGAACATATAGTGCTTGAAATCTGAAATTTGGCATTAGGATCGCTGTTCATGTGTAGCATAGACATATGGAAGTGATTGCGGAAATGTGTACTTTAATTGTATGAAAAAGGTACTATATTTGGTATTCAGTAAATCTATAGAGCTGGAGTCCCGAAATTTGATATTGAGGTATTAGGGGTGTTGAGACATTTTGAAAATGCGTACTGTAATTGTTTGAAAAGTACTAAATTTGGCATTAGGTGAAGGGATACGGCTAAAATCTCGAAATTTGATATTGAGGTCTTTGTTGGTATCTGGGATTAAAATATCGAGTTGGTTTTGGAAACGTGTAACATAATTGTACGAAAAGTACTAACTGGTACAAGATTGGGTATTGGGTGAAAGGGATAGAGCTGAAATCCCGGAATTTAATATTGAGCTCTCTGTTGGTATTTGAGATTGAGATAAGGAGGCTGTGGAAATATGTACTATATTTGTACGAAAAGTACTAAATTCTACTTAATTTGCTGCAATGTGTAAAGGAAAAGGGCTAAAATTATGGAATTTGATATATTTGTCATATTGGGGTCTGTGTTTCAGATTCGGAGGTGGATGTGTACTATAGTCGTTGGAATAGTACTAAATTGAACTAAATTTGGTAATGGGGGAAGTCAAAGGGCTGAAATCATGAAGTTTGAAGGGGATGTCACTGTTAGTATCTGTGGTTGAAAGGGATTGAGATATAGAGATCGTTTTCGAAATGGGTGCCACAAGTCCACGAAAAGTACTAAATAGTACGATATTCGGTAAAATTTTGTATAGGGTGAATAGATAGTGCTTGATATCTGAAATTTAATATTAGGGTCGCTGTTCATGTGTAGCATACACATATGAAGGTAGTTTTGGGCATGTGTACTATAATTATACGAAAAGTACTAAATGTTACTAAATTTGGTATTGAGTGAATGGATAGAGCTGGTATCTCGAAATTTATTACCGAGGTCTCTCTTGGTATCTGGTGTTGAGATATGAGCGTAGTTTTGGAATAGAGATCAAATGGTATTAAATTATATGTAGAATGAATATAAGACGGCCAATCCCCAAAAAGAACAATGGGTCTAGTTTATTTCATTTTATATTTTACAAAAATAAATTGTATAAGGATACAATAGCCTATACCGCAGTGTGGCGTAGGGGATACCAATATTTGAAATAACAAAATTTTATATTTTATGTTTTTTTATTTCTGTTTTTTTTTTTTTATTATTTCATTAATTATTCACTCAACGACACATAGATAGCTGTTATTTCCCAAATGCCAAATAAACTCAACCATAGTATACACCAGGATATCCATAAGTATAGGCAGCAGGATAGCCGCCATAATAAACCTGAGGTGCTGGCAGTGGTTCAGGACTAGCAACTGGTGTTGGAACGGCAGCGACTAAAGCCATCAAGGCAGCGAACAATAAGAAGAACTAAAAGCAAGATAATTTTTATTAATTATGTATCAAAATACAAAAAACAATAACAAAGTGATCACTAACAATTTTGAACATGTTTGTGCTTGCTTTGTGTACTGAACGAAACTTGTGAACAGAATACATTGCGGTCATAATGCGTCGGAAACTATTTATAGTTGGATGATTATCTTGGGCGCCATTCGGACAATGGAATTGGAGCTGCAGCACTAATGAAAAATTCTGTACATCATATGCGAGATAGTGTCTTTTGTTTTGAATATTTATTGAAATTATTATTTTTTGTTGTTTTTTTGTTTAATTAATTATTCTGAAAACTATATTGGCATATTAAATATGTGCCAGAACATAACTATTCGGATGGTAATAAAAATTTTAATTAGTTGATAAAATTATGGAATCATCACCGAATTTAGTTCCATTTCGAATTTTAAAATAATCCAACCAATGTCGATCTGAAAGTTAAATGTGTTATTGGCCCATCCTTGTCGGTAACTTCTCCACAAGGATACAACATTTTGAGAGAGTAAGGGCAAATTTTTGATTAAATTGAAAATATTCAAAACTAGCTGGCCCGGTCCGTTTTATCGACCCGTAGTTAGCATATTTTTTAGAATACAATGATTCACAGATCTGGCCTAATATTAGTGGACCTGGGCTATACCAATAAATAAACCTATGTTAAAATTTTTCTTAAAAATGGTTCTTTTCAGCCAAATTGATTTGAAACCAGTAAAGAAAGTCTTAAAGTCGGGCGGGGGCCGACTTTATGATACCCTACACCACTTTGCATATTTAGTAGAGCTCCACATAACAATTAAAAGTTTTTATGGGAGAATTCAATCGTACACGCTATGATTATAATAATAATTTAAAGTTCAAAGGAATAAATATGTCGAAGCATTTGTATCTTTTAAATTCGGAATTGTATTGCCCATTTGGTGCACAATTAATTTGAACTCGGATAAAGATATATATGGGAGCTATATCCAAATCTGAACCGATCTCTATAAAATTTGGCAAAGATATTTCTGAGCTGTATTTGAAATATTTCCCTGAATATCGTTGTTACGGACTGCATATTACGGCTGTGGGTAACAAATACAATAAATCGGATGAACAATATATATGGGAGCTATAGCTATATCTGAACCAATCATCACCAAATTTGACATACTATCTTCTAGACTAAATTCGGTCGTAAGTGCCAAATTCCATCCCATTTGGACAAATATTAGACGTTTGGTGCAGAATCCAAGGTAAATCGGGCGAAATTATATATGAGAGCTATGTCCAAATCCGAACCGATCTCGATAAAATTTGGCAAAGATATTTCTGAGCCGTAATTGCTATATATTTCCCAAATATTGTTGTAACAGATGCATATTACGGCTGCGGAGGACAAAAATAACAAATCGGATGAGCAATATATATGGGAGCTATAGCTATATCTGTACCGATTTC